AAGCGAAGCTCCTGAGAAAGGCTTGTTTTTATACAGTGAACTGTCTGAGTGAGGAGAATGAATCACGTGGGCACAGCGGCGCCCTCCCATCCCGCAGTGGGAGGGGTGGACAGGGCGTGGGACAGGGCGAAGGAGGCTGCGGGGACACAGAAACGCAGCAGACAAAAACCTTGACTTCGGGTTTGGGCCAGAAGCCAGGTTCCCGGCAAACTTCAGGGGCCTTTGGGTACTGGCTGTGGTTCCCATGCAGCTCTGGGAAAGAGTGAGAGCGAGAGGCTGGCGCAAATGCCACGGACAGGTGAGCTCTCACGTCGCTGGTGACAGCCGATGGATTTTCCATTGAGAAACACTTTTGTCACCAAAGTCATTGCTTTCCACCTTTTCTAAAAGCAGAGCTATTCCACTGAGAGGAGCAAAGAACCAAAACGCATGTGTAAGGTGTCTCTGTCCTCTCGAATTTGAGTTTTAAGAACCGTGGTGATAAGCGAGCCACCCCTCCTGGGTGCCGGGCTCCGCAGGAATGACCCCTCTGCGAGGCCCCGCGGCCCAGCTGGACTTGCTTTCGTTCGGCGTCGCGGCGCTGACTCGGCACGCCCACCGGTGAGGGCCGAAATCACTATTACTTATAGTAAGGGCAGCTTACTTTAAATTTCGAACCCCTCTCACATCTTCTCGTTTTATTCTTGAAACAACTGTGTTTCCCAAAGTTCATTTATATATATTTCATATGCTGGTCGATGTTTCTTAAATATCACGCCTGTGCAGACTAACTTCATGATATTTCACATAGTGAGTGTCCTTGTGTATCGAGTGTAACTTTTTCTTAGGTCAATTTACTCTTCTTTTGAAAACTTAAATAGCTATTTTTTGGAAGATAATTCTGTGCAAAAATGGAAGTCCGGTCACTTGCTATAAACAGAGGAAAAGGCTAAAAATAAATATAAAACTATTTATGCTTTTTAAAAGTTTGCCTTCACACCAGCTAAAATGCCACCCACAGTGTCCCTTTCCACTGATGGCACAGGTTCCACGTGTAGGGGATTTGGGTTGATGAGCGTGTGGGGCACAGTCTCAGTCCTGCCTGACCTGCAGCTCTGGGTCTGGGGTCACCCTTGGGGCGTCACTGGGGTTCGGAGAGAAAGGCACAGTCTCTCTGAGACCCTGGGAGCAGAAGGAAAGGGGGGCCGCAGGGCCCTTTGGTGTCTGGAAAGCCGGGTGGAAGGGACAGGGACTCCCTTCAGATGGCTAGACTGTTGGAGGACAGCCGGGTCCCAGCGGAGTTCACAGCCCTGTGCCCATCAAGTCATGTGTTGTCTCAGTGCTGGGCTCAAGGTACACAGTGGCCTGTTTAAATGTCATAGGCCCAGGGCCCCAGAAGAGTCTGAAACCATTCCTTCCAGTCAGTAGCCCTGGGAAGGTGTTTGGTTTCTCCGGTTCGTGGTAGCTGCCCCTGCTCTCCCCTCAGATGCACTTGCAGCCTGAGGTCACGTCAGAATCGAGTCATCTTGTACCTGCGATGCCAGGGCTCTTCACACCATCTCTGCGGTCCTTGACAGTGCAGGTGGGAGAGAGCGTGGGCGTCAGGAGGACAGTTTGAATCTGGGCTCTGCCACTTACCACCTGGGCATGCTGGCCACTGTGCTTGAGGTGGGCAAACAGAAGTGGACGCTTCCCCCCACCCCTCAGTTAGGGCAGAGATGGAAGTAAAGAGACTGTTACTTAGAAAACAGAAAAAAGCATCAAACCAGGCCAGGAATTCCGGGGAAGGCTTCCTGGAAGAGGTGACCCTTGGGTTAGACCTTGACGGATGAGTAAGAACTCACTATATAGCAGAGGTGGGGGCAAGTCATCCTGGAATGGGGACAGCATGTGGGTGTGACCAAGCCTGGTTTCTCATCTGTAAAAGGCTGAAACGATCTCACAGGATAAAACAAGTTAACATGCAGAGACTGCCAGATGCCATTCAGGCCACGTCTTACGTGTCTGACCTGCTCGTTTGAACCCGTGCCACACCTCTGAGCACCCGCTGTGGGTTCCTCTCCAGCCATGAGACGTGGAACATGGTGATTGGGATTCATCTGTTTATGAGATAATTGCCCCTTAGAGAGTGAAACTCTCCAGGCAGAGTGACTGGAGGGCCACAGCTTTCTCGGGTATGGGAGTGACTGTTCTCTCCATAGCTAGACCTTAACTGAGTGAACTTAAGCCTGAGAGAAACTCCACCCCGACACTTCCAGTGGGATATGTATGTCTAAAAAGATTCGGCCGTGAAGACACTAACTGAAAAGACCCCTGTAGCCCCGTGTCCATTGTGGCATCACTCACAATGGTCAGGTATGGAAGCACCACTGATGGGTGAACAGAGAAAGATGTGATACACACCCAATGCAGTGTGACTCAGCCGCAAAAAGGGGTGAAATCCTGCCTTTTGCAAAAGCATGGATGGACCTTGAGGGTATTCTACTAAGTGAAATAAGTCGGACAGAGAAAGACAAATATCATATGATCTCACTTATTGTGGAATCTAAAACAAAACAAAAACTGAACTTAGAGACAGAGAACAGATTGGTGGTTGCCAGAGGTGGGGTGGGGGGAACTGTGTTCTCCTGGGCTCTGGACCCTCAGCACCTGGTCCAGCACCTGGCGCCTTAATGACTGTTTTTACTCCCAGAAGGAATGAGTGAATTTCTCCTGACTCCATTCTCACAGCAACGTGACTGTGAGGCAGGGAGTTCTGGAGGCGCCTGGGTACCTGCTCTCTCCACCCTGACCTGAGGGGTTGGTATGGACTCATCTTCCCTGGCTGGCTGGCCCAGGCCACAGTTGCCCAGACCTGGGGACTTGTGGGCCATGCCCCTGAGGTTCCGGCTGGTCTGACGCAGTTGAAGGTGGATTCTGGGTGGGGGCCCGAGTTCTAAAACATCAGTGAGTGCACTGTCTCTCCCTGCTCTGTTCGTCGCTTGCCTTCATTCTACCAGCTGGGTGTGGCCCTGAGCACCTTGGTTCACAGGTGTCAGGTGTGGCAGAAAGAAGGGAAGGGCCCAGGAAACGAACCTGTGGGGCTCTGTCCCCACAGTGCTGTGTCTGTGCTCCCCCAGCCTCCTTCACCTGTGCTCTCCTCCCCACAGGCTCCCCTGGCCACTCCGGCTCTACATCGATGAGCCCGTCAGCAGCCTTGTCCACAGGGAAACCCATGGACAGCCACCCCAGCTACACTGACACCCCCGTGAGTGCTCCACGGACTCTGAGTGCTGTGGGGACCCCCCTCAATGCCCTGGGTTCTCCGTATCGTGTCATCACATCTGCCATGGGCCCTCCCTCAGGAGCGCTGGCAGCCCCTCCAGGAATCAACCTGGTTGCCCCGCCCAGCTCTCAGGTAGGTGTCCTCCCAGGATCTTCAACAGCCTCACCAGGTGCTCCTGGGGCAGAGCCAGCGCTCAGCAGATGCCTAATGTGTGCTTGCTGAAGGGCCTGGGCAGTCTGTGCGGACATCCGTCCTGCGGGCCTTCCTTAAGCATGTCCTCAGGCACTGCAGCCCCAGAGGACCGAGGACACGAGTGATCCAGGAGACCGTGGTTCATGCTTCTCAGGAGGGGAGGGATGTGCATGGTGGACGCAGCATTGTTGCTCTGAGGCACCTAGAGGGTGGCCCAATTCCTTTCACTTCCTTCTGGCAGTGTCACACTGAAATGCCAGCTTGTAGTGGTCTGCTCTTGTGCAATGATGCTGTGTAACAATCAATCCCCAGTTTTATATGTGTCACAAAATCACACACATGTGAGGAATTAGGAGCGAATCAGTGCCCTTGGGGGTCTCGTGGAAGACGAGCTGCGTCATACAGGTAACGCAAGGCTCAGTTGTAGTGCTGTCATGGGTGGAGGCTAGAACCAAAGGGACCATGGAAAAGGGACCTGTGACCTCCCCATCATGGGTCCAGGAGGGTATGTGATCGTTCAGAGGAATGGGGATAGGTGTGTGTCGATGTCATTCTCACTCCTGTAACTACGGAGCTGGCGATGCCCCACCTTCCGANACAGCAGTGGCGATGGGTGTGTGTCGATGTCATTCTCACTCCTGTAACTACGGAGCTGGCGATGCCCCACCTTCCGAACACAGGACCCTCAAGACATTTGTTGATTCACTTTATTTCACGTCAGTGGGTTCCAGGGAAACAGGTCAGAGCCCGTCGGTTGGAGACAGAAAGGTACGGTAAGGCTCTGGGACAAAATAAAATTTTGCAGAGGGAGTTCATCCATCCCAGTGCCTATTTATGAGGTCCTCCTGCGTGCAGATGCCCGACCCTGTCCCTGGCTCTGGGGATAAGGTCTGAACAATGGGGCTGAAGTCTTTACTGCGTGGCAGTTACCATGGAGCAGGCGAGACAGGCAAACGCAGACGAGTGCAGGACGAGCTCGGCAGCAGCCATTGTCTCCACGAAGAAGTAGACAGGGCGAGATGACGGACCGAGACGGGCTGTGGGCGGGGAGTGGGCAAGCACTGTCCCCCAGCGCTGCTTGTAGCCACCACACTCTGGCCCATGGAGCCAAAGCCGGCCCGTAAATCCGTGTGGGCCGTGTGAGCCCGGGCTGCTGTTCCTGGACCAAATGTCTGTACAGAGGGATTGGGGTTGAAAGGTCAGCGGAGAGCCTGCTCCTGGCCAAGTGGGCTGTGTGCAGAGGCCAAGGCCAAGTTTGGCTTTGGGAGCTGTATTCAGCTTGCCAAGTGCTGCTGGAGCTCGGCGGCCCAGGCACCGGCCACGTGTGGGCTGGGGCTCCGGAACCCCACGGCAGCGACACTTGGCCCACTTAGTTAGAGGACACGGGACACCTAGTGCCCTCCGTGTTAGCCACTCCAGTGAGACTCTGAACCATTGACTAGCTGTCCCTGAGCATCCTGGCTGACCAGGCTGAGTGGGGCTTGTCCTGCAACATGCCCGCCCTGTGACCCGGGCTGGGGTAAGTACGGTTTGGGGCAAGGGGATGCGGGTGCAGCCCCTGTGGGAGCAGCAGGCCGATCCCCTGTCCTGAGATCTGCCACTCTGGGTTTGAGCTTCTCTTTTCGCTCTTGCTGGATCTTCAGTCTGGAGGAGTGAAGGGAGCTCAGCTGATTCTATGGGACAAGGGCTGTGTCACCCTTTGCAAACCACTGTCCTTCAGGTCCTTGTCCTCTGTTGTGGGGTAACAAATTTTGCCCTGATTACCTGACAGTAATATTTATGAAAATCAAAGGAGACATGGATTTGAAAAATCACTTCTTAGGCACTTGCAGTGCTCTATGGCAATCAGCGGTGAAGATTATTTTACTGTCCCTCCGCGATGTATTCTGCACCTGGGCTGTGTATCTGTTACACACCCGGGTGAGCATTGATTCAGGTGTCCTCTGCTGGGGGTTCTAGAGAAAGTTCATTTCAGCAAGCATTCACTCAGCCAGCTCTGGAGACCTGAGAACGTGTAAGACCTTGCCCCTGCCCTGGTGAGATCTGAGTAGATGAGGAATTTCCAGACACACCAAATGTGCACTCGGGCAGATGTTCATGCAGCTTTCAGACAGAGTGATCCAGGTCACATTTTCCTGAATGTGAGTGTGCGTGAGTGTGTGTATGTGTGAGTGTGTTCCGAGTGTGTGTGTGCATATGCCTGTAATTGTGTGTGTGTGATTGTATGTATGTGTGAGTGTGAGTGTGTGTGTGAGGGTATGTGTGATTGTGTGATTTTTGTGTGTGTGATTGTGAGTGAATGTATGTGCTTATGTGTGTGTGAGTGTATGTGTGAGTGTGATTGTGTGTGTGAGTTTATGTGTGAGTGTGTATGTGTGATTGTGTGAGTGTGTGTGTGAATGTGTGAATGTGTGTGTGTGATTGTGTTGAGTGTATGTGCGAGTGTGATTGTGTATGTGTGATTGTGTGAATGTGTGTGTGCGTGATGCTGCATGTTGTAAGTATGATGTCCCCTGGCTGGACCTGGCGCAGGCCCTGCGTGTCCTGGGCATGCTCCCTCTGTCCCCTCCTGGGTCCTGTCTGTGATAATTCTTGCCCGGGGGCAATTGCTGCCTGAGTTACTACCCCCTCGGTGTTTGCATTGTCGTAACAAGTGCATGCGTTAGAGCTAGAGCAGACCTTATAGATCACCTTGTCTAATGATTAAAGAGAGTTTAAGCCATAACGTCTTTTCTTCAAGTGAAATCCTATTTGAAAACCTAATAGATATGTCAAATAAAAACAGGTCTGGCTGAACCGGGGGCAGGATGCGACGCCTCCTCAGCCTGCCCCCTCTCACCTGCTACCCACACCCTCCGATGTGAGAACCACCCACCTATGTGCAGCTGGGGAGACGGAGTCTCAGGAGGGGGCCTGATCGCTATCACGTAGCACGCACGGCGAGGGAGTGGGGTCTGCACCAGAACCCAGGGCTCTCTCCCTGTGGGAGGTCCTGACTCCTCATGACAAAGGCCCTCCCTAGAGTCACTGCTGCCACTAGAGGGAGTCTATTTCCCGGAAAGGAGGGTCTTCCTGCAGCCCGCCAGGCTGCAGATGTGCCTTCAGTGGGGTCATTGGGGCTGAAAGTGGCTCAGAAATGGGGGCCCAGTGTTCCATGAGGGCCCAGGGCCTGTTTCCATCCCGGCCTCAAGGAACAGCTGGAGCCTGATGCCTCTGGCCCTGACGTGCTCCCTTCCGTGGGGCTGCTCCTAATGGAAGGAGACAGCGGGGACTGGGGGTTGGGACCAGGCAGCTAATGGCTTTGCACTCTGCTGGCTGCCTTCAATCTCAGCTCCCACTGCCTGGAGCCCACACGGAGAATAGAGCATCGACCCCCTGTCCTAGCCGCCCCTCCCTTGCCACCTGGACTCAGGGGGAGGGGGAGGAGAGGGGCTCCTGCCAGGGAGGTGGGGCAGGCAGCTGCCAGGGCCAGGAGGTGCCAGGGTCTCCTGCCCTATCAGACAGACATTGTGGTGAAGGAAGAAGGACACCCAGGGTCCAGGAGCCCTGGGTTGTGCCTCCAACCTGTTGGTCTGGAAGGCACCTAGCCTGGCACCTGGGCAGTTGTGGCAGCCTGTGCGTGTCTCTCCTCCAGGCTTTCCTCATGCTGCTGCCCCGAGGTGGAGTGTGGGGGGCATCACTCCTCTGCTCAGAACCTCCAGTGGCTCCTCAGTGCTCCCAGCTTGGCAGCCAAGCTCCGGGCTCTGTCACAGCTCAACTCCCACCTTGCCCCCATTCATGCCCGGGGCACATACCTTCCAGGCCTCTGTGCTCAGAGCCTTTGCCCATCACTGGCCCATCCTAATCCTACCCATTAGTGAAAGCCATTAAGTTCCAGCTCAGATGCCACCTCCTTCAGGAAGTCTTCCCGAATCTCAATTCTCATGATCTTTTTCCCCTAAACTATCCTGATTTTAATCTCATTAACAACCAGGTCCTGGAGGCAGTGCCTGTGTCTTCTTCCTTTTTTACCCTGACAGGATTTCTGAATGAATGAATCGATGAATGAATGAATTAATGAATAAACCACTTTAAGGCTCAATTTCCTCATCTGAAAATAGGAAGCCCTCATACCGTGGTTGTGAGAATTAAAATACTTAATTAGTGCTGAGCAAGCTTCCCAAAGATGGTGGCACTAATGGCAGTAATGACAATAATTACTGTTTTGTGATCCCTGTAGGCTGCAAGGGGTACCTGGGCCTGCTGGAGACAGGAGTGGGAGGGAAAGGGGAGATGGCCTCCTGAGCCCAGGTAATGGGGCCTCCTCATTCCCATGACCTTTTTTGCTCATTTGAGGATTAAGGGACAGCCATGGTCAGCTAGAGGGCTCTTTCTTTTGGTTCATCTGACCTAAAATGCTCCCATTTCATGGGGGGACCTAATTGCTCATGTCTGTTTCCTGGAGGCACTCAGGGAATGGTTCCTGGAACCCACACTGGTAGAGACCTCCCCTGTTTCTTAAAAATCAACACGCATCGAAGTGGATCACATGTCTAGAGATAATAATGACCTAGTGTTATGACAACATCAAATAATCTGACATCCCAACTAAGAAATGGAATCATTTAATCCCCTTGGTGAGTATGGCCTCATTTGCCGCACAACTCCCAGCATGTAGCAGAAGTGGGCTTGTAATGAACACTCAGAATTCTGTCTGAGTTACCAGGTTTTATTGGGATGATAGCAGTGTATGCAGGCAGCCTGCTTGGCCTTTTACACTGCTCTCTCATCAGTCCTCCTGCCACTCTAAGTTAGGTGTTCCCACGCTCAGTTTACAGTAAGGAAACTGAGTCAAAGGAGACAAGAAACTTCTTTGAAGTCGTGTAAGCAATAGGGCAGACTGGAGTCAGTCCAGGCCTGTGAGACTTCCCAGCGACGTTTTCCTACGACCCAGTGGTTCTTAACCCTGGCCGCACAGCTTTACCTGCATTGATGGCCTGCAGACCCACTGGCTCAGAACTTCTGGGATCCAGGCGTCATATTATTTCAAAGCTCCCAGGGGTACGTGCAGGGGTGAGGAGCGCTGTGTTACAGCAAACCAAACACTGGATATGAGGTTGAGACGCCTTGTCTTAGCCTTGTATAAAAAGAGGGAGGGGAAGGAAGAGAGAAAGAGAGAGAGAGGGAAACATCCATTTGTTGTTCCTCTTGTTGATGCATTCGTCGGTTGATTCTTGTATGTGCCCTGACCAGGAATTGAACCCACAACCTGGCGTATCGGGATGATGCTCTGACCAACAGAGCTACGTGGCCAGGGTTCATGTACATTAATTTAAAAAATTCCTGACAACTTTGATTTCAGAACACGACGCTGCGGCTGTCTTCTTTCTGCCTTATCACAGCACCTCTGCCCACCTCCTGTGCTCAGAATTATTTGCGTGGTGACTTGCAAAGCTGGTAAATTTAAAAGGAACATAACTCAGACTGGGCCGTATTTCATGTTTTATCACCCTTCTGTCCCAAAGGCCTTGACTCAGGAAGAAAATCCTACCTTTGGTTCAGGTGAGAATTACGGTCACTTGGGTTAGACAGCGTGACTCACAGTTCACATGGACCATACAGAAGTTAGGGGACCGCCCTTCAACCCCAGCTAGTGACCAGCTGCCTCATGGGCCACCAAAACACACTGCCCCTCTTCGCCTGGGTTTTCTTGAGCGTGTTCTCAATTCTGGTGCTTGTCCTGACTCCCTGACGAGATGGTGCCTTCGTGAGGAACCAGAGACAGGTATTCTAGACTTTGTATCTCCCTTCGTGGTGCCCAGAATGTGTCCCGTGCCCATGGGCACAAAGATGTGCTGCCAGAGGGATTCTGTTAACTCATCTACTTGGAAAAGCACAAACCCCTCAGCAGTGGCATCTCCCCAAGAGCACCGGGACGCGGGATGGGTGACGAGGAGCTGATGCTGACAGTGAGGGGGTGAGGAGGGGGGCATGCACGGTTCCCATGGTCACATGTTCACCTCGTTGGGTCCCCAGCATGTGCCCGGCCCACCGTGGGCGCTGGGAAGACAAAGTGGGCAAAGTGACTCTGGTCCACGGATTTCGTACTCTCATGGGAAGATCAATTGTTCTTTCAAAATGTGACGTGGGGCTTTCTGCCCCATTTCTGGTGCATTCGGGCAGGTGGTTCAGCCTCCTCAGTGGCCCCTGGAGATGACCATGCACGTATCTTCTCTCCTATTTGACCCACCCTTGTGCCCTGCTGGCTCAGGTGTGGCTGCTGAGTGACTACATGAATGCACAGGCTGCCTTCTCGGCCCTCCTGGGGTCTGCCTGAGGGCCGTGGCTTCTTTGGAACAAAGTCAGTACTTCATGCAAAACTTAAACAGGCACCGCGGACCTGAGTGAGCACCATTCCGTGTGGACTCCCAGCTCAGAGCACAGGCGGCCCGCGAGGCCAAGCGGAGACTCAGGCAGCCCCGGCTTTCGGGTTAGGCTTCTAGAGATGATTTCTTCTGCTCACGGTTTTTCTCCCCTAAATTCACACCCCACAGAGGCACTTTTCAGATATTCTCTGCTCAGAAACTGCTTCCTGAAACAGACCTTGTGTCTCCTGGGGACGCCTCGTGGCTTTCGGCCTCGGCGCTGGGGTTACCTGGCTCTGTGTTTCATTGTATTTTCTCTCTCGCAGCTCAATGTGGTCAACGGTGTCAGCATTTCCGAGGACATCAAGCCCTTACCGGGGCTTCCTGGGATCGGAAACATGAACTACCCATCCACCAGCCCCGGGTCTCTGGTCAAGCACATCTGTGCCATCTGTGGGGACAGATCATCAGGTGCGTGAGGGTGATGGTTGTCACCTGTATGGGTGGGTGTGCTGGCTCTCCAGGCACAAACGAGCCATCCCTGGCTGGGGCCCTGGGAAACTGAACTGTGGAACAGATGACAAGGGAACCGAAACCTGTGACAGGTTATTTTGGGTTCAGCAAAGCCAGCTTCCATGAGACTTTATGTCACGTCTCAAGGTCGCACGTGTTATGCTACGAAGACCATATAGTGATTTATTTCCCAACTGGCAATAGCACTTAAAAAACCCATAAGTCAGAGGCCAGTTCCCAGTTTGTAGAGAAGGACAATACTTTTAAGGGGGAGGTTCCTAAGTCTTTGGGCCTCAACTGTGGGGAAACATTAGTGAGCTGAGGGCCCCTTCCTGCTGGATAATATCACTGAGCACAGCCACTGTTAAGGATCATGATGTCTTGGATGGCGACAGAACACTTTGTCCAACTAAATACGAGAGTTGCTTCATAAAATAAATGTGAACAAAATCTTCACTGGGCACTTTTGTAATAATGCTCGGGGTTGGCGATTCCAAAGAACCGCTCCCGAGGGGGCACCGGGAAGGGTGCGCTGGCCTCGGGGGGCTGGGCTCCGCCCGGTTCTCCGCGGGCCGGGCCATCCTTTGCTTCCTGCCCGGGGGGTGCGCCAGTTTCCGGGGCGGGGGTTGGGGG